TAATTTATTGTCATTGTAAGTATATACACAGTATACCCATACAACGAAATTCACAGACACCCAGAGACCAGACACCTGCATACACATATATGGGTAGTATCCAAAGTGATGAAGTATCTGTTCCAGGGCTGCATGTAGGAGTAACTTTTGTGAACTCTATTAATTCCAAACAGCCTACTACTCACCATCTGACAGAACTTCATAAGCCTCAGCTACTTGTTTAAATTGTCTCTCAGCTTCTTCCTTGTTATCTGGATTTTTGTCCGGGTGCCACTTCAACGCTAGCTTACGATACCTAGATTGAAAGACACTGACATTAGTAAGTTGCTTGTATCAAGATAGATACTGCATGCAGAATTAAAAACTATTTTCCAGCTGAATAAAGCTGTTCAAATGCAAAGTCAATACACACATGCTCTAAATTGTATTGCACTTAATGTATCCATCCTGCATATAGAATGTTTTCCCTCCTTCTACAGCCCCAGAAAGTTTTCCTACAGGACAATACCACCTGAAGAGACCCATGATGTTGGGTGAAAGGCTGAAATTAGAAGGGAATTGGAAACGGTCAGAGAGAAGAGGTAGCACATCAGTCATATAACTACATAAATATTATTGTTATAATTACACCATGCCCGTCCTCTGTCTACTTCAGTGTAGTATTTCTTCTCCTTGTCTTCACAAGAACCATTCTATGATGTACTGTACGTTGGGCTGAGGTCGTGATTTACCTAAGGTCACCTGGCTGAGTCTCACTGCTCAGAAAAGTACCTGGATCACAGCCTAATCATTATAGCACACTTGCTTAATCTCTTGCAATATTTGCTATGTTTAAAGGGCTGTACAATCTCATTTGTACTATTTATTATTCAAACCATAATTTATCAATATGAATTAAAGCAGTTAATGTAATAGATCATATTTATACTGATGGTTACGATTCAAGATGCTTTCAAAATAGTCTCTCCTCTATTGTAGTTTTCTTCGTTTTCTCTTCATCAGTAACCACTGATTGCTGGAATAATTAAATTGGCCCTCACTTAAGACTCTTGCCCTTGAAACTACAGCATCTGCTTGTGATTTGGAAGGGAAGGATTAATGACATTTGCCAACTGAGGTATCCAGGCAAATTGTAAGTCAATTGAAAGAGTTGATTTTAGAAATACATTTTGCACAATTAAGTTTAATTCTTGTCATCCACTCCAGAGATAAAGCGTGTTTGTGGGCAGGTTTTCTTGACTACCCTTCTAATTCTGGCTTGAACTCCCTTAGCAAAGTAGCTCAGCTGAAGTAGCAAGATTATTAATTTAAATCATAATTGTAACTAACTAAAGTGGTGAAAGTATCTCACTGAGAGCTATTTCTGAAAATCTGAACAATCTTCTCTTCCTGAAAAGGCAGCACAGAAAAAAATGTAAGGGGTATGCAGATCTGTGTTTTTGGACTACAACTCCCTAAATCCTCTGGATACAAATCATCATAGCTGTACTCTCAAAACACACATCTGTACACTTCTAAAACAATAAACTTCTTTGAACACTGAGACTAACGTCCCACAGGTAGAAAAATACCTGAACTGCTAAACTGTAGGGTGAACGGAGGGCGCTCACGCGCATGCACAAAGGAGCGCAGAATGATCATGGAGGGGTGGGACAACCATGCATGCGGGTAGGGTGCGTAGGGGGAGTTTGTGCAGGGGGAGATCTGTCTCACAGCCTGATCCTGCCATGGTTGCGGACTAGCACTGGGCCGTGGACTGGGGATTAGGGCCCCCTCCTATAGGGGACAAATGAATTTTTTCCCCATCTGTGGAAGCTGTCCCAAAAATCTAATCCATGTATTTTGGGTTCATGTAAGCAAATACATGGGGATGTGGTGGCGCTGCGAGTTAAACCACAGAAGCCTCTGTGCTGCAAGGTTGGAAGCCCAACAGTTGTGAGATCAAATCAATGCAACGGAGGGAGCTCCCATATCTTGTCCCAGCTCCCGCCAACCTAGCAGTTCAAAAGCATGCAAATGCAAGTAGATAAATAGGTAGCACCATGGTGGGAAGGGAACGGAGTTCCGTGTCTAGTTGCACTGGCCACATGACCAAGGAAACTTTCTACAGTCGTGCCCCGCTTTACGATTGCCCCGCATTACGTTTTTGTGTTCACTTTTGCGATCACAAAACGATGGTCTGAATAGGCTTTTTTCGCTTTGCGATGATTGGTTCCCTGCTTTGGGAACTGATTGTTCCCAAAATGACGATTTTCCTACAGCTGACCGGCAGTTTCAAAATGGCCACCGGGAAAATAAAATGGCTCCCCGCTGTTTTCTGGGACGGATTCCTCACAAGACAGCCACCGAAAATGGCCGCCTTATGGAGGATGTTTGCTGGATGGTGAGTTTTTAGCCCATTGGAACGCATTAAACTGGTTTTAATGCGTTTCAATGGGTTTTTTATTTTTGCATTACGACGTTTTCGTTCTACAGCGATTTCGCTGGAACGAATTAACGTTGTAATGTGAGGCACCACTGTACGGACAAACGCTGGCTCTATGGCTTGGAAATGGGGATGAGCACCGCCCCCTAGAATCAAACACGACTGGACTAAATGTCAAGGGGAACCTTTACCTTTAAGCAAATACATGACTACAACTGCAAGAAAATCCCATGTAATCATATAAATAAATTACGGAATAAAAGGCACCAGATCCACCATTGCAATTTTAACAGAAAGTGTTGTAATTTCATGTACATCCAAATAAAAGCAAGTACACACATACAATTTCCCCCACTGTTTTACAGGTCAGTTAGTACTTACGCTTTTTTAATGTCTTCTTGTGAGGCATGCCTATGCACTCCTAGAACTTCATAATAATCCACCATGTTTTATGTTGCTTTGATGACAACAGTCCTGAAAAAAAAAGGTCACTGTTTTAATATCAACATCACTGATTTCTTATGAAAGAACTCTCTGGGTTCAAACCATATGAGCATCTATCAGATCTGTGTCTGGCTGTCTCAGAGAAATGAACTAGCTATGCAGCAATCTTTTCAACAGATTAGACAGATATGGCTTCCTTTGCCTGTATTTCTTCTAAAACTTATTTCAAGAAGGCTTTCCTCCTTCAGAACAGAGAAACAGCTACAGCTCTAAACTCTCAGCAATACCCAAGATCACTGCCTAGGTTGTGCGGGTTTGCAGTTTTTCCACGCTGGTTTCAGTCCAACTAGAACAGCAATTGAATGTTGATTCCTTTGTTATCCTGCCCAAATGCTTCACCATTTTTAGTCTTTGCAACCTTACTCTTACACAGATTCAAAATGATACACTGGAATGTTGTCCAGAATCAACTTAAGCAAAAGCAAAAACACAATTTAAAGAGTAAAACATGTAAGGAAATGGAAGGATACCAAAAATGGAAGGAGAGAGAAACATCCACATACTCTACAGAGAGAAGGACTTGCATTTCCTCTGCGCAAGCCCATCAGTGCTGTTGGTAGATATGGGAAAGTATTGGAGATTACTTTCCAGCTCTCATCAAAATCAGAAGCTTCAAATAATTTCTTGTTATTTTGTTTTCCCTTCAACTTATATAGTATTACAAAACTAAAGACAAAGTGAAAAAGAAACTGAAAGTAGAATTTGTGTCCTTGTCATATCTCACAAACTGATAAAGCCACCTGCCATAAATTTATTATTGTCAACTTTCTGCCTGACAGGCATAGGTCTTACAAGCTTAAGCTAACTACACTAAAATAAACGGAGATACTATGCTTTGGAGGAGCGTATGCTTCAGAAGGTGGGGCAAAGCCCTTCCAACATATATGGAGACATACAAGGGCAGAAGAGTGGAAAGTTTTCACAACGTAAGTAGAAATTCTTGTTCCATGTTAGATTTAGCCTAGGTTAAAACACTTATACATATCATGTAAAGTGGTCTACGGGGTTTTCTGATATTTACAAAGTAATTTTTAAATGCTCATCTTCTTAAGAAAAAAAAGATATTTATAATGCAATACTAGCTAAAGCGGCACCAGACAACAAGATTTTGTTATGAAACTTACTTTCAAATCAACAACACTAGAAAATGCATATTCAGTAAAATTCATCAAGGAAGTGAACAAGGAAATCTATACTGTAATTCAGTTACTCAATGACTAGCTGGTGAAACAGCACAACAGCCAATTAGTCAGAAATAAATGCAGTGGTTCCCAACCTTGGGTAATTCAGGTGTTCTTGGACTGCGATTTCCAGAAACCTTAACCACTAACTGTTCTGGCTGGTGTTTCTGGAAGTTGGAATCTAACACCTGGGTTACTCAAGATTGGGAAACACTGAGTAAATGGAAATACTATTACAGTATCTGTGAACTGCAAACCAACAAAACAGCTTTGGAAGAGAGAAGCTATTACTTCTAAATTTTTTGAGGAGTCATAAAACACTTCCATTACCTAAGATAGTTACTAGAAACAGTGTGAAGCTGTTACATGGGATTTTAACCTTGGCGAGACTGGCACTTCCCTTTGATAGAAAGTCAAATAGCATACAACACTTTGTCCAATATCTCACTACCATTCATCTTCCCCCTGTAGCTGCTATCAGATGCAACTGTCCAAGCCTTCCTAAGGAAAATTCGAACAACTTTTCTAGGTCTGTCTTCCCCACTCTCCTGGAACTTGAAGGACCACATCTACTGTACTAGCATTCCCAAATATCCGAAATATTTCATCAAATGAATACAAAACTGAAAGTCATATGCACTCTAGAAATGTCAAAATTTTTACAGCTGCTGAGATACAATAAATTATTTCCAGTTTTGAAAAAAAGCCCTCCCCAACAGCTGAGAGGTGAAGCCAAAATACCGCAAAAGTATCTCATGTCCCTCATGTCCGCTAGAGGAGACAACTGTACTTTGAATTTTTGTTTAAAAAATTAAGGGACAATTAATCAGAAGTGTGGGGTGCCTGAGACCAGAGACTCCACGGGGTATACAAGGGGTTCTGGAGAGCCACACAAGGCCCAGCTAATTTCCCTTCCCAAACATAGGGAAAGGTCATCCCAAAGTACCCGGATCCACCAGAACAAAGGTGGAAAACCTATGACATATCGGGTATGCAAGACCCTGCTGTTCCACAAGTCAACATGTTAATTAGGTTCAAAACACCAATCACAGAATTGGAAGAAGTAAAGAGCAGGGTGAAACAAAATCATTGTGTTACCATCCAGATACTGTGTGCTGTGACACCACTGAAGCTACTGCTACTATAGGACCTTGGCACTAGCTAGCATCATTCATGACTCTCTATGAACCCAAGCAAGGCAAGTCCTGCTCACTTGCCACCTAGGATGGTGCTGCTGTTGTGGTCATCCAGCACATGTCTGAGGCTTTGAACAGGAACTTGCCAACAAGTAGGAAACAATGTAAAAATGTGCTGCTTATATAGCACTTACCACCCCATAGCTCTTAAAGCACTCTCTGGGCGGTTTACAATTTGATTATGCAGGCTACACATTGCCCCTTCCACCAAGTTGGATACTCAATTTACTGACCTTGGAAGGCTAAGTGAACCTTAAGCTGGCTACCTGGGACTGAACCAGGCCATGAGTAGTGTTTTGGCTGCAGTACTGCAGTTTAAGCACTGTAACACCAGCTCCCTACTGAGTCCATGTACAGTACTCTATTCCCCACAAACTCACCAAGAGTAAAGTATGCTTATTTTCCTTTCTTTCATTTTTTCATGCTTTATAACCAAAGCTTATTATTTCATGTATATATGTCTTATGTTGCTTATTAAGACACAATAGCAACACAGATTCTAAAAATTTAATATCTTACACTTCTATTAACAGTAAAATAAGAAATAAATATAAATAACAAACAAGACTCCTCTCCTTTTCCATTACAAAAGACCCATTATTATTATTATTCACTGATTTTACTTCTTGTGAATGTAGAGTTGTTAATAACATGTAATTCTTAAAGCTTTCCCATTTAAAATGTATCAGAAGAGTTACTGGCAATGCTTGCTTTAGGCTGTGCACCTGGGTGCAGAACTCCATCGGGGCTGCATACAGTAGTAGCCACCACGGTTGATGCCCATTTACCTCCAGGTTTCGGATAAAATCTTGCTCCCTGCACACACACAGGGCGAGGTTCCCAGCAGCTGGACTGGAATGTTGGATACTGACTGCCTAAAGAAGCTTCAAAGATTTTATTCTCTTTCATTACAACCAAGTTTGTAAAAGATAAATATAATACTGTAATAAATAATAATTTGCTCAAAATTACAATGGGCATGTGAGAGAATTTTAGAAGATTATCACTAATTTGGGTATATACTCTGAAAAAATTCACCACCCCTGTACAAGAGGCTTTTACAAATGAAAAGGGGGAAGATTATTCTTGCTGATTGTCTCTTCCCCCTGTCCTCCTTCAAATTATTTCCAGAGAATGCTTGAACTTTTCAGTCCAGATTGTCTGAGTATAGAGAGTTCCATGGTTTTCTATTTCTAAGAGCACAGTTATATTAAAACAATATAAAATAAAAGTAAGGGACCAGCATTCTACTTGCCAGTGACTAGTGTACCAGCCATTTGGCAAGGAGGTTAACCAGCAGCTTTCCACAGACTCTCTGCCCTCCTATTTGGAGACAAGATACAGGAGCAGGCATTTCACCTGCTCTTCTTCAACCAGTATGACAAGTGAGAGAAAGCTTCCAAATCTACTGAACTTGTCAGAGAACCGGGGATGAGTTTTATTTTTCCAAAAACATTTTCACACTGATTTTCTGCTGAAAAGGATCCCAAAATGGCTTACTTAAAAATAACAAATTAACCATGCACTCATGCTTACAACCAAAATGGGGGAAGGAAGGAAGAGAACATGTGAGCAAGTCTTTTAAATTCAGCTGGTAAGGGAAAGGGGGAGGAGGTAAAAATACTGTAGCATTAAAAACTAAGTTTATTTCAGCATAAGCTTTTGTAGACCAAAATCAAGTCAATCAGGTTCTTATAACAACCAGCTTAAACAGAAACAGTCAGAAAGAAGGGGCTTAAAAAGAGTGAGTTTCTCACAAGAACTGATGGAATGCGCCCTGGTTCAGTCTTACTTGCTGCAGCAGACAAGTACCGTGGCTGTTGCTAACTGAAAGCTGAGGGACAGAAGATGTAAAAGCAAAGCAGCACCTGTATCGTATCATTTCGGATACTTATTTTGTCACAAATAAAATACCACCACCTTCAATTTGTTCCCAATAACTGATATATCCTTAAGAAAATGATTACTTGTACATCAACACGGTCATGAAGAACTGATGTCTGAAGCATGGAGCCTGGTATGTCAAAAAGCACAATCCTGCACCAGTAGAGATGTCCACAGCTAAAGAAACTCCAAGAGATAGCAATCTAACTCTGTTAAACCATGTCTAACACAGAACAGTCCATCACTTTCTGAAGTAGACCACTGAACAGCAGCTACCATCATAAGTTCTTCAAAATGTTCACTTGGAATCTGTTTTACAATCTGGATCCCACCTTCACTAGCAGCAGAAGACAGGCTTGCTTCATCTTCTGCATGGCAGATCCTGAAATATTTCAAGGTGGCTATTATCTGTTCTGGATAATTGACAGCATGTATTTTCCCCACCATTTCTCACATTCCAACTTGAAAAAGAAAGGGATGACTGAAGTTGACAGCAGCACCATCTTTTACCACAAACCTAATAGCCTATTCACTCCAGCCAAACAAAATTAGACTACAGTGGTGCCTCGCTTGACAAGGATAATCCGTGCCGCTGAAATCGCTGTTAAGCGAAATCCTCATCAAGTGAAATTAAAAATCCCATTAGAATGCATTAGAAACCAGCTAATGCATTCTAATGGGCGAAACACCTCATTGTAAAACAAAGATC